TGAAACCCCCGAATAATTACCCGGCAACACACTAACACCTTGTAACACTATCCCCGAATGTACAGCACCACCCCCGAATGTACGGAACCATCCCCGAATGTACAGCACCATCCCTGAGTCACATGTCGCTTCACCGTATCACATGTCGCAGAAGTTTACGAGCACCCCGTGTTTGTGTCAGAGATAAAGCTCAAAGGTTGTTTTCATGCTGAATTCAAACCTATCATTTTGTTGACTCATCATATCAACACACGCACGCACATACACACATGCTGCCAGCGCAACCTCAGTGCATATAAATCGCTCCCACAATCTACATTGTCATAGACAGTTCCCATCGACACAATAAAAGAATGCATCATTAAAATTTCACGTTGTGTCTCCTGCCTGTGTTTGTCCACAGGCAGGAGCACTGGGTGCCCCAAGAAGGCGCCAGCGTTGGGTTGGACAGTAAATTGTTATGGCCCGGCAACCTTTATGGCCCAGCAACCTTGATGGCCTGGCAACCTTTATGGCCCGGCAACGTTTATGGCCCGTCAGCCTTTAAAAAAAGATTTGTGCTGGGTCAGTCCAGAAAGGATGGCTCCCTGGATTGGTCGGGGAGCCATCCCCCCGGGACTTACCGACGTCCCACAAACAACTGACCCTGTTTAGGAGGGACAGTCGCTTGGGGGAGGTGCATCTTTTGAGAGGAGTGCGGCGCCGCACTTGTTGTGAAGTGTGAGGTTCTTCAAATCCTCGACCGCTTGATCTCGCGTCTTGCAGGGTCTGGAGCCTTCAGAGTGGTGCACGACCTTCCACGGTTCCGGCGTGTAGGAGTAGCACCAGACTCCGAATTCTTCCCAAACACAGCCTACGACGGGTGCCGAGTTCTTAAGGTGCGGCTTCATGTACGGCAGGAACTTCGAGAACCTTACATACTTAGTTAAAAGTAGCACACACTTGTCTCCTCCTAGCAACAAACGCTCAGCTTGGCTGAAGTGATCCAGCGCTGCGAACCACTGGCTGGCTATCTGCGTGATGATGGGAAGCAGGTGCTGCTGAGCCTCGGCACAGGCGTTCTTAAACCCTTCGGACTCGTTATGCGCCTCAATCCAAGAGGCATTGAACGAGCCAACCAAGCCCGCAAGCCCCGGCAGGCTGCCTGTGTATTTGATGCGATCTGGAGTACAGGTGCAAGACCTCACGCCATTGTCTCCCGCGTCCACACTCTCGAAAACCAGGTCGTATGTTACCTGCTGCAACTGCCCCAACTTACTCTCGTCCACGGACTTGGCGTCCACGGACTTGGCGTCACCCAAAAGCTGGACGAGAACCTCCTTTCCGAAGTGTTTCCACACCAGGCCTGCCGAACTCAGGCGCGTCGCGGTCTGGGTCTCACTCCAATACTCCCCAAACTCCTTCTGGTGATGATCAAAACGGTTCTTGACCGGGTCGTATATCCCGCCCACATCCACCACAATATCACACTTGTCAAGAATGGCGTCGTCCCGGTGACGAATTACCACACTTGATGCAAACCTGGGTAACAGCGTCAACAACACCACAGAACAAACTTCGTCCAAATGGTGTGTCCCGCTGTGCGTCCCAATCTTGTGACACCCAACCAGACTTTCCAACACCTCCTCAGTCACTTGCTTGAAAGAGTAAACCTTCTCCACCATTTACTTTTCTCGGCAAGGAAAAAAAAATTATCACTTCCGCCGTTGTGCATCGGCTCAGCCATGAGGCTGCTCAGCCACGGCTCGGATTCTATAACGGCGACAGCTACGCAGACAATCACAAGAACAATTCGCAGCACAGACAGACATCGCCGTCAGATGGAAATGATAGATAACGGCCCTCTCTGTGACGGACATTCTTATAATTGAACTACCGAATACTGGCACTCGGATACATCCCCAGAGTATACTGACGCCGGCCAGGCCGCACGGACTCACTTTGAGCCAAAAAATTTACCCGGCAACATCGGTCGGTGCTTATGGGAAATTCATAATCCGAGGCACTACGAAGATTAACAAAATCACTAGACAAACATTGTTCTGTCCGTATATGGACAATTTCATCAAGTCGTGCATCTCACGCTTGTACCCGGAGAGGAAACGAGCACCTCTATTCAACGACCCAATCCCGATTCTCGAGGTCGACGAGGAAAAGCAGGAAGTCACACCAGGGTACCCACATCCACAGAAGCTTTGATCAGATCGACCCACTGCCGACGGTTGATTCAACCGTTCTCACAGAGCATGTGGAACGAACCACGCAACGCGACGCAGTGCCACCCGATGACAGATAACGACCGACGCGCGACAATCGCTCTTTGCGCACAATCAGCCCTTCCTCCGTGTGGACAAACACTCGACATCTGACACAGATGACGATACTCCTGGCACTCCTGCTGAATCGGATAGCTCGACCATCGATGACCCCGAGTACGTCAAACACAATCAGAAAGCGACACCGAAGTCCGACGCCGGCCAAAAAGGGCCGGCTGGCCTTGTTGTCGAAATCGTCGACATCACCGACACTCCTATCCCGAAAGGGGCACAAGACACACCAAATGCGTGTCGGAGAAGTTCGTACACCTGCACCAACTATTGTCCGCCCAAGAAGGGGGCTCTGATATTCTGCGCGTACCAAAAGTGTGCGCACACACTTTTGGAAGGCGCTTTTCACTCACGCATCAACTCAGCCACGGCTCGGAATCTACCACCACTCAACAATGAATCAAACAGATCGACCACAAGATCGCTGATCTTGCTCTGGGCATTATTTCGTGTCCGGTTGATACTCAAGACCACAGCGCCATGGTCACCCATCAGACAGTAGCGCCAACTTACGGCTGCAACTTGTGCGGCCACACTGTTGTAGTCAGACTGGCACCCTATACCGTTATGCAACTGAGAATGACGTCGTCCCGGTACCTGTTACCCTACAATGCCTTGTACAGCGCCGCAGAACTACACCCAGAGCCTCATTCCACTGTGCCTGCCTTGATGTGTAGCATTTTGTAGATAACACGCCTCATCCGTATGCCAGCTTAATTCGCGTACAGAACATGTCATTTGCTCCATGTTGACACGCACCATGTTTCTTGTATCGGTACTCGTGTACAGGTCGTTCACTACTTGGAGGCTTGACACTTAATTTCGATCCCTTATTTCCGCTCGTCTTGTGGAGCACCAGTGTTTCAAGTCTATGTATAAACTCGTGCGCGTCATCCAGATGGCAAAGCAAATTTCTTGTCTCCATTGGCAGCCTCGCACAGAAGCCCTAGTTGCACTAAAGGTGCTTCGGGATAAACAAGGCACTTACATGAAAGTGTGGATAATTCCTACGATACGGTTGAATTGTGGTATGGCCGAGTTTGATTCCTTGGACATAGCATCCTCCGAACTGTGATAGAGCGCTCTAGAGTTTGGGTATTGCTTCACCTGACTAGTTTGCTGAGAAGATTTTGTGGGGTATCAATATACCCTAGAATGTTGCTGATTGATTCTGAGATCATCGCAGCGCTGTTTCTACACTAGCACACATTTACGCGCACAACTCCTAGAGGATCAACATCACGGTCTAAGGGTTCAGCAGAATTCCATCTGCAAGAAAGCTAGCCGCCTGCCGGGATTGAACCGGCGACTTCTCGCTTACGAAGCGAACGCTCTGCCACTAAGCTAAGGCGGCGCTATAATGATACGGCGCTAGCAATTTAGTAGAGTGTCATGTCTGACGCTTGCGCCTTCCGTTAGTAAGAAAGTCCAGGCAATTACGTTGGGTGCGAAGACAACCTTTATACCCCGTACGTGTGTGGTAACATTGCTGAGCATCCTCGTCATTGCAACGTGGTTCAATTTATATTCCTGAGGTTCATCAACGACGAAGTTGGTGAACATAGCGTCCCCGTCGAACATGGTGATGCGGGTTCCTGCCGACACCTTCTAAAGCAAAACGTTGATTTTTTTCGTGTGGCAGTTTTCAGCAAGCACGCATTCAGAATCGGACTTGACGGCGAGAAGGTGTCGTGATTAGAATTGGGGCTGATCTGCCTATAGGTTTAAATGCAAGACCAGCTTCCCAAGCAATGTTGCGGGGTGGGTGGGAGGATGTGACGGGGCGGGGAGCTTTTCACGGCTCAAGGGTTGGGATCTTTCCACATATGGTCTTTCGGTTTGGTCTTACAAATATGAGACCGCCTGTGCCCTCTTCTTTATTGATGGGTGAGACGTTTAAATGAAGAGTGCCTTTAGTCTTGATTAGAGGGGCAAGTACCCTTCTGAAATGTTGTGGGTTTGAAATTAGACACCAGTCTGGTTCTTCGTCGAGAGCAGCAGTAGGGCGAAGGAGCATTTGGGAGCTGCAGAGACCTATGGAATGTATGTGCCGGTGGAGTCCATATGATCCTTCGATGTACAGTATCGTGGGAGATAGTGTAAGACTGAGCGCATCAATTCCCAGGCATATCAGCGGTTTTACGGCTCGTAAAAGTTGCGCTTTGGGCACTCCGGTTTTCAAAGGCGTTGTACAGGACCACAAGAGAAAGTCTTGTGCTTTAATTTCGGCGCACGACGGACAGGCGGGGGACTGTTGCCACAGTTCCAAGCCGTTTTGGTCACACGATATTGTTACTGGTTCTGCGTGGAATGAGCTGTCCATATTGCTGCCCAGAAAACTGTTTATCACTCGTTCGAGCAACATGGTGCTCACTGTAGCACTTGCGGCGACCTGGGGAGACGAATCCGATCGTCGCGATAACTTTCGCTCGGTAGCAATCATTTTTTGGAAAAATGACGGTGATCGAGGAGGTGCCCACAACTCAAGAAGACCCAGCGACCCAAGAAGACCCGGAACCCGGCGACTCCATGTGGACCATCCTGTCGGATGCGATTGATGAGTGCATTGGGGTAAAGGGAAGGCCGGATCGACTGGTGAACTATTCTTACTTCTTCTTCCTCTGTTTAACTGTCAGTATTTGCCTGGTGTGGAGCGTAATTCCAGATTCAGCGACTCTAGCTCCTGGAGAGTCGAAGCCCGGTCTCAGCCAACTGACTCTCTCACTGAACCAGGATGCCTTCCTGAACAACGGCTACGTTCTCAAACATAACACTTGGATTATCAAGCTTCTCGTAGGCCTATTCGCCGCCTGCATTGTAGCCTTGGTATTTCTCATCACCCATATTGGCTCGGCCCTCACCAATGACTTGAAGACCAAGAAAGAGAAGTAACTTCATTTTTTGACATTGAATGCTGCCTTGTGCTTGCCGTTAGTGCCGACCGTCCCTTCGGCAACTATTTTGTTGCGGCGGTCTGCAAGATGGCGGCCTGTAACTAGCCACCTGCCCCTCCCCCTGCCCCTGCGAAGTGAAGTATACTAACCAAGAGCCAAGCCAGGAACCATGGTGCTGGTGCAAGACAGAGATGAAAACGTGGATCTGGCTTATTGTGTCGGTATACAGGTTACTCCGGTATGCTCGCCAGTACTGGCTTCCTGTGACTCTATTCATGGCCTTGATGACGATGGTGAGGCGCTCTCGGTCTAGACAGAGGCAAGAAGAGTTGAGGGACCTGGAGATAAATTACATACCTAATGTGACGCCCCACGTCAATTTCCACAATGCCACCATGCAGAGTGTATTAGAGATCCGGTTGAATCGAGCGATTGCGTTGGTAAGCCTACTCTTTGTGTTTTCACCCTTGCGTTTATGCCCGTTCGACCAGCCGATGAAGCAGAGCGGAAGCGAGTGTTATTCTATCGGCCTCTGGAGGTTGCCGAACAGTGGCTACCTACTGCTTGCATTCATGTTGTACCGATTCACTGTTGTGCCGCTAGAGGGAAAGAGCCATTGCGACCTTGCCCCCCACCGATGCCAAGCACTACATGGCACGGGCCTCATCAATCATCGTGGCCGCACTGGGGCAGCACCATGAGAGCGGCACGAGTGCAATGGAGCACGTCAGAATTCGTCCACCGGAGCGGGATCGGCGGTACATTGCGGCAGCCGTGGCCATCTAAAAATGTCCGGTTTCTAAAAACGTTTGGCCAAATCCGTGAGTTGAGCCAAATCCGTCCTCTAAGACCGTAAACGCCGAACAAAGACCTCTTCTGTGTCAGGTGACCTCGTCACAGAACCTTATTGCGCTGTTAAAAATCACAAAAAATGTTTACGAAAAATAACTCCTTGCGAGATCTCGTAAAGACTTGATCCCATAAAGACGGCTTGATACTATAAAGGTTTGATATCATAAAGATTTGACATCATAAAGGCTTGATCTCATAAAGGCCTGATGGTCGGGGCAGGTAGATCGCCGGGGTAGGTAGATCAGGGTTTAGTTGGTGCCGGCCTTGGTGCACGCGGACAAAAGGGCGGCGCCGGTGCAGCTTCCACCGGTCGCGGATGTGAGGAGGATGTGGGGCATGCTCAGTTGCTCTTGGATGGTTTCGGCGACGAGATTTTGGTATTTGGGATTGAGGACGTAGAGGGAGCCATCAACACCGACGGTAAGTCGGTCGAGTTTGAGCCCAGTCATGGTGCGTGTGGCAAAGGCGGCAAGTACGCAACCTACGAGGCGGGCGGACCGTGTGAAGACAGCATCCACGATGTCTTTGAGGGTGTGTAGTTCTGTGTCGGAGGGCTCTCTTTGGAACCAGCCAGCTACTTGAGTTTTGTCGGCGGCGGGGGCATTGAAGATTTTGGCGGCGTCTGCGGTCAGGAGGGAGTTTTTGACCCACAGACTAGGCGGTGCATGGTCCTGTAGGATGTCGATCATCATGTAGCGGATGCACTCTCCCAGATACAGTCCGCTGACCATCTTTTCGCAGACTTGATGGCCGGGGTTCGAGGAGTTAAAGTCTACTTGAGAGTCGGCGCTGACACGGGGCAGACTGTGCGCGAGTCCGCCACACTCCGTGTTCACGACGTTCCCGCCGTAGTTGAAGAGTGGTGCGTCCTTCTCAAAGTAGCACACGTTGAAACCCGTGCCCACAATGGCACCCACTTGACATGGTGGCCCATCGTGGTTCAGGTTGCCCGAAATCAGGGTCGAGAGCGTGTCGTTCAAAATGCAGTTTACTTTTGCATTGATGTTCTGCCGGTGGAACGCCTCGTTCACCATCGCGCCCACGTCCTGGCCAACCACCGGGTCGTTCGTGCCCGTTCCCGTCTCGAAACCCTTGGACCACTGCGTCAACACTGCCTTGTCGATCGTCTTCTGTTGGATCCCGAACGAGCATGTGAAACCTACGTCCACCACCGGCTTGGTGGTACCCAACTCGTCATGCCGCTGCATCAACCGCTTCACGGCCCATACCACTCCATCGAACAACTGACTCGCAGTCGCCATTCGATCAAAGACGCCCCGAGGCAAATCCGCCGCATACGGAACCTCCGCCAAGCTCACCTTCTCCTCCGTCGTAGCCTGCACCATCCCACTGCCGTCGAACGTCACACGCATCGCACGCACATTCGAACCACCCATATCTAACCCGTAGTACACGCCCAACTCCTCACCCGTAGGCGTGTGCTTCACACCCGTGTCCAACATCATGAAGTCGCTCTTCGCAAAGTCCACTCTGCAGAAAAACACGTTCTAATGCCGCCACACACCTCAAGCCGACACCCCAAAGCAACACATTTCCGTAGCGTCACGCTTACTTATCCGGGTCTTCGCGGTGCATCATGAGCCCCTTGACTATCTGCACCGAGACTTCGTTGTACACCGCCTGGCAATCGTTCTCGCCCATGCGGATCGCGTTCACGATGTCCTCTGCACGGCTAGCTTCGCCCGAGCCGCTGGTCGCCATAGTTTGAAAAAAAATACCCGAACTCCTGGCACGTGCGAAGAACCACGCGTGTTCTGTCTATTGGCGTCTACCGTAGTACGCCTGTACTACAGCGCCTGCCATTCCGCCAATGCCGGCTTTAGCCCCTCCTTGTTTTCGAGTGGCAATGGCTATATCTCTGACGATGCTGTTCTGGGTGTCGCCAGCGCTAATTACGGTTTGCAACCATTTCTCCACCATCGGATTCAACTCTGCGTCGCAACTCAAATTAGCAACATATCGGAACCATCGACGGTCAAAACCTCCGAAATTCTCGCCAAAACATTTGTGGCAAATGTTAAGAGTGCTTTCGGATAACCATACTCGCTTAATGCTAGGCTGTAGGGCACTGTTGTTTAACAGCCATAACCACGCTAACCTGAGTCTAGGCGAAATGCGGTCATTCACTACAGCAGTTTGTAACTCCTCAACCATTCGAGATTTTATGTTATGCACGTAGGTGTCATTCCATTCTAACATCAGCTTGCTTATCAATGATGAGTGACCACTCGTAATTGCGAGAGACTGATCAGTGGTCGACTCCGACGGCGCAAAATGCTGCAGCACACGTGTGTGCAGCCGCTCTAACAGGTCCCATTTCACATTCATATCCGTTTTTGTCATCATCTCGAGAAACTCGTACAACCAGACATGACATAGCTTCAAGGTAACCGCGATATCAGTGCACCGAATCAATGAGCGGTGACCAATCTCGTTGATTGAGTCGCTGTACTGCGACCCCAGATGCTGCAGCCTGCTGGAGACAAACAAATTGCCAAACAGGAAAATCATTGCGGTACTCAAAAGAGAACTCTTTGTGATATCAACCTGCGCGTCTACCTCATCGGTCGATTCTTCGTAGCAAAATCCGCAGCATAACGCTAAGTGAGTTAGCCAGTCGTCATCCACGATTGGTGGAAGAGACCTCCGTAATTCATTCGCCGTGGACAACTTGAATGGGCAAGCCAAACTGGCATACGCGGTGCGCGATTTCTCATTATCCGGCAAATATTTGAGCATTATACCCGAGGCCCTTCCCCACGTATCCATTAAAGGATTAGTGAGAGCAAAGCAATCCAAGTCGCTTGTGTTTATTCCCTTTCTGGGACGCCTTGGGAAGCTGACCAGGTGAACAGCATAGTCATAGATACACCGCGATATATCCACAGCCAGACCTGCAACGGAATTACCACCCAGAAGCTTTTCCACAAAGGACAGCTTTGAAGAAAACGGCAGGCCGAGTTGCTCTGAACCGTAGACTTCAAGTAAATGAGCTGTCTGTGCCACTATCTCAACTTGCCAACTCATGATTAGAGCTCGCGGAACTCCATCTGGTCGTATGGCAACGATGGGATTGAAGTCCATCAAATTCATGGCGTGTGCACCGTCGTCCAGCTCTCGGCAAATCTTGTCTGAATGGAAGCGCCAGCTCAGGACCTGCTTGACTGATTCTTGTACAGCTTCGATCAGAGACTCCAACATCATTCCATGCTTGTCAACGTCATATATCGACGCTTCGTGTGCCCCGGACGCGGTGTCGGCCGCTTGCTTAGTGTCTCGGCAAAAGTCTTGGGCGCTGTTAACGAGGTGCAGACACCTGGCCAATGCCATAGATTCAGCGAGATGTAGGACGGAACACACCTCATCAGGGTTGCATGTTCTCTGAAATAGCACAGGTATATACAATACCAGGTATCGCATCAAGAGACTATGCAAAGAAGCAGATCGTTCCTTTCGCCGCTCGAGACAGCAGTCAATCAGCTTGGAGAAAACCAAAGCTACCTTAAATCTTCCTTGAACGTCAAGCTCCGAACGACGCGAGACAATGACCTTATCAAAGAAGCTGAGCATGGGCTCATATATGGAGAGCAGAGAACATTCTCCATCGATTTCATTTTCTGTATCATTCACCAAATCCAGACATACGAGCGCATCATCAAGGTTGGTCTCGTGCTCGAAATAATTGAGAAGAAGGCGCCAAACGTGGCCGTCCACTGTTTTTCTGTCACCATTTGCGACGAGGAGGTCGTTCACCGGAGAGCCCGTGGCAAGCGACGCGACCCTTATGAAAGCGAGTAACGCCAATAGCTGCTCATGTACTACACCATCATGAGTATTTGTTGGTACTTCCCGCCGGTATATAGTCTCTTCTAAGCCGTCCAGTAAGGTTCGCACACACGTTCGATCGCGCGCATCACGGTGATCTTTAATATATTGGTACAAAAGATTGGCCGCGAATGATGAATGCATCGTCAAGACGGTCATCAAGCGCAAGCCGGCAGGCGCAACATCAGCATTAACCGAGAGAGCGATCCTGGATATTAATATTTTAATAACATCAGGATGAATGCCTTTCTCCCCCCATAAGAGTATGGACAACAAGGGATCTGTTCGCCTATGTTCCAGTTCAATCTCTTGCGACGCCTCTTTTTCCTTTTCGCCGCTGTCCTCGCCAATAATTAGCAGCTTCAATTCTTCGCTAAAATCGGAACGTCCATTTGTGACAATAAGCTCGGTGAAGTTCTCCCGTCTTAATACACTTCTTCGGCTAGTCAGAAAATGTCGAGCTATGGATTCATTATCGCAGTTCGGAAGAGCAAACCACAGCGCATGATTGTAGCTAAGAGTAATCTCTTCCAGTACCGGAACAGTTGTGTGCGTGATAAGCGCAGCAAGAGCGATCACCGCCAAATCCACAATTTGAAGAGTTGCTCCGTTGAATATAAGATATAACAACTTCTCATGAATCATAGAAAATCTGTAGAGGTAATCATTGAACCTCTTCAGTCCAAAGCCAAAAGAGAAGCCGGACGAGGAATTGTCCGTTAACTCCTCTATCAAATCCGGTCTATTAAATCGCATGTAATCTCGATCCACGCCCCCATACGAATTAGAAGATGCACGATGTGATGTCTCACCATGTATCGTCTCCTGGCCCTCTTGAGAATGATGTCTAATGCGTTCCCGTCGAACCTCTTCAGCCAGTCCTATATAATTTATTTTGTATCGCTTTTGATTGGCCAGATAACGATTCTCAAACACGCGTTTGCAAATCCTTAAAGCAACCAGTACCTGTGCATCAAACTTGCTGGACAATAAAGTCGTGATTTCTGGCAGGCTATATCCCGGAAGGTGACCCATAGCCCCGTGATTATGGAGACCTAAGATATCTCCATTAACAGCCCCATTTAAACCCACGCCAATATCGTTACAATACGGGGAAACCAATTGACCGTCAAAGTCAAATCGTAATTCACCTATTTCAGACTCGAACACATCCTTTTCACCGTAGTTCACCTCATTTGTCCACGCAAGCTTCTTCGTCAACTCACTCTCATCTACAACAAATTGAACGGTGTTCTTGGCTTTGAAGTCACCAGTTGGATCACCAGTTGGATCACCAATTGATATGTCTGGGCAGATGCCATCTCCCGCACTGATTTGTGTTTTATCCACACGCCACTTGTTCTCCACCTCTCCTTTATTCTCCATTGCTCCCTTGTACTCCATAGCTCCTTGATTCATGGTATCTCCTTTGCTCCTGGTATCTTCTTTGCTCTTTGCGTCTTTTATGTTCGTTACACCCCTGGAGCCCGGCGTTTGGCTTAACGGGATCATCATGTCTTGGTCTAATGTCGTTGAGAACGATAATTTCGACGGCGGTCCGTCAGAAATCCCATTCTCCTCAACAGAGTTCGAACATTTCTTCGCAAACACGTCACCACGGGTTGTCAAAATATCCCCAGCGGCCACCTTCGGAAAGAATCCCATATCTACGACGACGGTTTTCTCAACTATGTCGCCTACAAGATTCGGTCTAGAGACTTTCAGGTCCCCCTCCGTCATTCTGGTCAGACCCGTTTCCAACGGCAAGTCCGGTC